ATAATTTATTGTAAAATATGTAAAAAAAATAATCATGATACGAAAGATTGTTTTTTTAAACAAAAAACAAGATATTGTAATATCTGTAATAAGCATAATCATTATTATTCAGATTGTTGGTACAACAAATATAATAAAAATAAATAAAATAAAAATATAATTTTTACGCAGTTATACAATCTAAAATTAAATAAGATAGATTTTCAAATTTATTAAATAAAGATAGGCTAAATATTTATCTGATAAATATATTTATTCGATAAATATAACTTATTTATTTATAATATAATAATTTATAATAAATTATACATAAATTTTAACTATTTATTATATCTTAATATAATTCTGGAGTAGAAATATTATCATTAATTCGAGATTGTAAATCACTAATAGTTTGTTCTAAATAATTAATAGTTTGCTGCATAAGTTCTGTTTCATGCTTGTAAATTTTTTCTCTTTTTTCTTTTTCACGTTTATGGATCTTATCTTTTTCTTTTAATTTTTCACCATATTCATACTCATGTTTTTTGTACATATTATCATTTCGTTCAATTTCTTTTTCATGTTTCTTGATTATAGATATCAAATTTGTAATTTTATTAGTTTTTGCAATGATTAATTCTTTGTAAAGACTAACTTCATTTCAATAAACCAACTTCTTTAGCATAGTTTTCTTTTAAAAGACAAACTTCATTAGTATAGTTTTCTTTCTGTTCTTCAAAAGATGCTGTTAATTGATCAATTTTTACTAAGAGTTGATTCTTTGTCAATCTACTTTCAGACATAATTTTTGACAAAGAATCAAGTATACTTTTGTATAATTTTAACATTTTAATATATATTAAATTTTTATATAATAAATGCTTATCTCTGTATCATGAATTCTTTGTGTTTTTATAATTAATAAGGTTATATAAATTCTATTTTTAGTTATAAAATATTTAGACGTAAATAAGATTATGATTTCAAATTTAGAATTAATCATCTATAGTTGAAACAATATAACATATAATATGCAAGCCACATGAAAGCTACAGGCTTAAATTATTTACATAAAATGAACAATACAAATATAGTTTGATTCAAAGTTGTCAAACAAATCTATAAAAATTCAGGTTTTTTCGTTTAACAAACATCAAATTTTACAAAAAAAATTCTCAAATTCTTTTAAAAAATCTTAAATGTTTTTTGTCACACTTTACTTAATCATCTCTATTACAATTATCATGCAGTACTTTTTAGAAAATGTTGAAAGATTATCACAAACATTTAGTAGATCTAGCAGTATGCAAGTTGAAAATTCCTCTATTAATTCTAGTATTGAACGTTTTATAGATGAACCTCCGTCAAATTATTTAGAAGCTATTTCACAAGCTCCAGGTATAAATTTGATAACAATTCAAAATTTTTCTTCAAGTTTCAAATATAAACTTTTAACAGAATATTAAAATTTATT